GGGGGAAGGAAAAGGAGGAGGATCAGGAGTAGAGGAGGAGAGGAGGAGGAGGAGGAGGAGGAGAGAGGAGGAGGAGGAGGAGGAGGAGGAGATTAATGGAGGAAGGTGAGCAGTGAGGATCAAGGGGCGGAGATGAGGGGGAGAAAAGAGAAGGAGGAGGATTAACAGATGAGGGAGGGAGGAGGAGGCGAAGGAGGATGATGAGGAGGAGGAAGAGAAGGGAGACCACCAGTGTAAACCCAAGACGCATCAACGATGTGTCAATACACCTTCCCTCCAAGTGCCTTCCTCAAGGATCCCTAAGATAATGTATGTTCATTGCTGGAAGATGCTGGAAGTGGACCACTAGAAGACAACAGTCGGAGAGTCCCCAACAGTGCCAAGACACAGTTTCTGTGACTCCAACGCCGCGGATCAACGTGATTGCTGTGTCCTGACGATCCTACATCGTGCTAGAGAGCCGTTCCTGGGCCTTCAGCACTGCGAATCAACGTGATTGCGGCGTCTTGACAATCCCAAATTTAGCCAGAACTCAGATCCTGGGACGTCGGCCATAGGAACAGTTGAAACGATGAAGAACTTTGAGGACGAATATGCGTGGCCCGAAGGCGAAAGCCACATTTTGAAAATAACCCTCCCTCCATGCATGAAGCTGTTGTAAACTTTTCAGACGAATGTTCCCGGTGCTAAGACGAGAGCCACATTTTGGAAAGGACGCGCCCACAATGAGTAAAGCATGTGCAAACTTTGTAGACGAACGTGCGCGGCGCTAAGGTGAGAGCCACTCTTTGACCACGAACCGCCCGACACGTGTGAAGCGGTTGCCGACTTGTAAGACGGATGTGCGCGGCTGTAAGGGGATAACCACATTTTGAAAAGGATGCGCCGTCCATGCGTGAAGCTGTTTCGTACTTTTAAGACGGATCTGCGCAGTGCTAAAGCGAGAGCCACTGTTTGAAATGGACGCGCACTCCATGCGTGAAGTTGGTGCAAGTTTTCAAGACGAACCTGTGCGGCGCTCGGCGAGAGCCACGTTTCGTAAATGACCCGCCCGCCATACGCGAAACTGGTGCACATATCTAAGACGAGTGCGCGCGGCGCCAAGGAGAGAGCTACATTTTGAAAAGGACGCTCCATCCCTGAGTCAAGCTGTTGTCAACATTTAAGACCAATGTGCGCGGCGCTCAGGGGAGAGCCACATTTTGAAAAGGACGCGCCCACCTTGTGTCAAGCAGATGCGAACTTTTAAGACGAATGTGCGCGGCACTGGGGCGAGAGCCACATTTCGAAAAGGTTGCGTCCTCTATGCGTGAAGTTGCAATTTTTCCAGACGGATGTGCTCGGCGCTGAGGCGCGAACCACATTTTCAAAAGAACGCGCCCTCCATGCTTGAAGCTCTTTCAAACATTTAAGACGACGGTGCGCGGCGCAGAGCCAAGGCGAGAGCCATTTTGTGAACACGACACGCCCTCCATGCGCGAAGCTGTTGCGAACTTTTAAGACGAATGTGCGCGCCGCTCAGGCGAGAGCCACGTCTTGAGAAGGACGCGTCCTCCATGCGTGAGACTGCTGCAGACTTTTCAGACGAATGCGCGCGGCGCTAAGGCGAGAGCCGCATTTTGAAAAGGACGCGTCCTCCCTGCGTGAAGCTGTGGCGCACTTCGTGCGTCAGGATTCTACACGGCGAAACGCTCTCAGGCTTGACAGCCGGCCCGTCCTGCCGACACGTCTGGGGGTGCGACAGGGAGGGGTTCTTTGTGAGGAGCAGGGATGCGGGAAACCTTTCTGAAAAATAGTAGAAGAGGGAAGAGGAGGCGGATCAGGATAATAATATACTTAGTGAGAATGCTATGGAAAATCGTACGAAGGAAACATAATAATGCTAATACTACTATTCATAACAACGAACAGCAGAAGAACCAGCCCCGCAGAGTGTGGCCGCGATCTGCGTGGATGAAAGAGGAGGACGATGAGGAGGACGATGGATAAGGAGGGGTGAGGAGGGATGTGGAGGGATGTTGAGGGATGAGGCTGGATGAGGATGAGGATGGTACGATGATGCTGGTAATGCTGATGATGACGATGTTGATGCTTAAAGTGATGATGATGATGCTGCTGATGATGATGATGATGATGATGATGATGATGAGGGTGATCATAATGCTAATGATGACGATGATGTCGATGGTGATGCTGATGATGATGGTGGTGGTGGTGATGATGATGATGTTGATGATGATGTTCATGAGGAGGAGGAGGAGGAGGAATATCAGGATGATGATGAGGAGGATGAGGAGGAGCACGAGGAGGAGGAGGAGGAGGAGGAGGAGGAGGAGGAGGAGGAGGAGAGGGAGGAGGGGGATGAGGAGGAGGAGGAGGAGGTGGAGGAGGAGGAGAGATAAGGACAACCCTTATTCGCTGTTGCTGAGTCTGAGTGGCGACTGGCCAGGGGGCAGGAGGAGGGGGGAGCAAGATGCTAAGAGGGCGAAGGAGGTGATCCCGCAGACATCCCGTACGCGGCGTTACGACGGAACGCTGTTATGATTGCTGCGGCCGAGCTGGCATGCTAGGAAGGAGGAGGTCCTCTCTTCCTGCTGGGCGCACCCTCCCCCCTACCCACTATTGGCGCGGCCAGGACGGTCTGCCAACACTCTGGACCCCCGTGGTCATTTGCCCTGCAGAGGGACAGTTGCCAGGGTCGAGGATACAGCAGGATGAGGGATGATGCTGCTGGTGCTGATGAGGATGCTGCTGCTGATGACGAGGATGATGCAAGTGAAGATGAGGACGATGATTCTACGGATTATGCTGCTGCTGCTGATGATTCTCCTGCTGCTGCTGCTGCTGCTGCTGATGATGATGATGATGATGATGATTATTCAGATCAATGGATATGATATGACAATGCTGTTATCGTTGTCGTTATTGCTGCTGTTGCTGTTGCTGTTGTCGTAAGAGAATGAGTGTTCTGCTAATGTAGATGTACATGCAGATGCAGATGTAGAGCTGAGTCAGTTGCATATTCGATGATGATGCTGCTGCTGATGAAGATAATGATGATACTGACGATGATGCTATGATATGACGATGATGATAATGATGCTGATCATGATGATGCTGATGATGATTATGATGATGATGATGACGCAGATGTACATGCATATGCCTATGTTGATGATGACAATGGCAATGACACTGACACTGACACTGACACTGACAATGACAATGACAGTGACAATCAAGATGTTGATGAGGATGATGCTGCTGCTGATGACGGTGATTCTGATGATGATGTTGATGTTGATGATGATGATGATGCTGATGATGATCATGATGATGATGATCATGATGATGATGATTATGATGATGATGATGATGATGATGATGATCATGATGATGATGATTGTCGTTAATGACGACGGTGATCATATTGATGATGATAATGATGGTGATGGTGGTTGTGGTGGTGGTGGTGCAGGTGGTGGTGATGATGATGATGATGATGATGATCATGATCATGATGATGATGATGATGATGATGATGATGATGATGATGATGATGATGATGATGATGATGCTGCTGATGATGATGACGACGATGATGATGATGCTGTTTACGATGATGACGACGCAGATTTACATGCAGATGCCTATGTTGATGATGACAATGACAATGGCACTGACACTGACACTGACAATGACAATGACGATGTAAGCAATATGTTGATGATGATGGTGATGGTGGTGATGGTGATGATGATGATGCTGGTGCTGATGATGATAATGCTGACGAGGATGATGGTGATTATGATGAGGATGAAGATGGTTGAAAATTACGACCCTGATGATGATGATGATGATGATGATGATGATGAAGATGATGATGAGGATTATGGTGGTGGTGGTGTTTGTGATGATGACGACGACGATGATGATGAAAATCATGCTGATGATGTTGCTGCTGCTGCTGCTACTGCTGCTGCTGCTGCTGCTGATGATGATGATGATGATGATGATGATGATGATGATGATGTGTTTGTCGATGATGTTGTTGATGATGTTGATGCTGCTGATGAGGATGAGGAGGATGATGATGAGGAGCAGGAGGAGGCTGAGGCGGGAGGGGTCTAGGTCCGCTGTGTACCGCTGCCGGCGCCCGAGGCCGCCGCCAGTGAAGAAGTCGGTCACTGGTAGCATGGCGGCGTCGACCAGGAGGCGCGGAAGAGACGGGTGCAGACGACGGCGACGTTGTCGACGTCAGCGACGATGTCGACGGCGCCGCCGACGACGCCGACGAACGACGCTGACGATAATGTCGACGGCGCCGAGACGACGACGCTGACGACGCCGACGACGATGTCGACGACGTCGACGATGACGCCGATGACAATTTTGACGGCGCCGAGACGACGACGCCGGGGACGATGTCGACGGCGCCCTCGACGATGTCGACGACGCTGACGACGACGCCAACGACGGCGATGTCGACGACGCAGACGACGACGCCGACGACGATGTCGACGTCGCCGACGATGTCGACGACGCTGACGGCGATGTCGATGACGCCGACGATGACGCCGACGACAGTTCCGACGGCGCCGAGACAACGACGCTGACGACGATGTCGACGGCGCCGACGAAGACGCCGACGACGATGTCGACGGCACGACGCCGACGACGATGTCGACGGCGCCGACGATGTCGACGACGCTGACGGAGATGTCGACGACGACGGCGCCGACGACGCCGACGACGATGTCGACGACGCCGACGGCTACGCCGACGACGATGACGACGCCGACGACGACGACGCCGACGACGATGTCGCCGACGCCGACGATGATGCCGAACACGGCGGCGTCGACGCCGAAGAGGGCGACAATCGTCGAGGTGTAGTACGTTTCGTAGTGCTGTTTTGCAGCTTTCAGCTTCCAGGGGTTCAGTGAGAGACGTCGTAGAACGACTCGAAGTGAAAGCAACGGTCCCAGGGAAGGCGTCGAGAGGTCCTGGGCGCCCATGCCTCAAACACATCACGGTGTCGGAGGAGAGGATGGGCCAGAGGTCGCCACGAGGAAGTCCGAGGCTCGAGCTTCGAGAATCGAAGATCCTGGATGTTTCCGTTCCGTTTTGAGGCCTCCTGAGGCCTCCAGAGGCCGCTGTGGACCTCTTGGGACCTCGCTGGGGATCTCTGGAGGCCTCCGGAGAGCTCCGGAGCTGTCCAGGGAGCTCCAGAGACCTCCAGAGGAGATTCATAAGGGAAAAAACACACAGACACGATGAATCGTCGACTCCCAGGAAAATATAGGAAAATGTGGGAAGTGCGGGGGAAGACACAAGCCCAGAAAATATATGGGAGAATGTGGGGAGTCCTGTTGTTTGTGTGTATTTATTTGTGCGTCACAGGGCCCCTTCAGAGATCTCTGTCCAGGTGCCCGGTGTTTTGCATCGTCTCGGCCTCCCGGGGCCCTCCCGGGCCTTCCGAGGGCTGCACCTGACAGGGCTCGTTTCGATGCCTCCGATTCGATTCGAGTCGATCTCGGTGGCCTCCGATTCCGATGCGATTCGACCTCGGATTCCGATTGGGGGCTCCGATTTCTCGATGGAGGCCCACCAAGCCTGCCGAGTTCTGCCGATCCGATTCTTCCGGCCGGACTCGGCTGCCGATTTCCGCCGATGCGATTCACTTCGATCGCCGATCCGACTTGTCGATTCGATTCTGGGCCGTCCTGCCAGGAGGCCGCGCCGGCCCTCACTGGAAAGAAACACACAGACACAATGAATCGGCGACTCCCAGGAAAGTATGGCAAAATATGGGACGTGGGGGGGAAGACAGAAACCCAGAACATATGGGAAAATATAGGGATTATTTTTATATATATATATATATATGTATTTATTTGTGTGCTTGTGGGCCCCTTCAATGTAGCAAGTCATGGGGGTTTGGAGTGTGCCCGCTTGATTCCGTCCTTCGCGTCGGCTCGCGCCGATTAGCGTCTGGGAGTCGACGAGACAGCGCCGATCTAGCGTCGGCTAGCGTCGATTAGCGTCGATTAGCGTCGATTTAGCGTCGATTGGCGTCGATTTCGCGTCGATCAGCGTCGATTCGCAAGAGCCGGCAGGATGGTGTGGGAGGCTCCCATGAGCTGCCACCGAACGTTCTGGCCAGAGTTTCGAGGTCCGTGGCCACGAGGGCAGACCAGGATGTCCGTCCGTGAATCGGCGGCGAGCGAGGGGGGGAAGTGAGAAGGAGAAGGCCTTCTCAGAAGGCGGCGGGACTTCTCAGAAGCCCTCGCGCCTTCTGAGAAGTTTTTTGTGTCTTCGGGGAAGGCTTAGAAAACTTCTCAGAAGGCTGGGGAACTTCCGAGCCTTCCGAGAAGCCCCGCCCCTTCTCACTTCCCCCCCTCGCTCGCCGCCAAATGAAGGCATACAGTGGAGGCCAGGCCACAGGAAGCCTCCCACGAGAAACCCAACCCTGAGACCCCAGGACGCCCATCGCTCTTCGGCGCGTGGGCACGCCGCGCTCCCCGCGGCCCTGACCGTCGAAACCCGGGGAACCCGATGGCACCCTGGAGGCAGGCAGGGTGCTTCTTGGCGTGGGTCAGGAGGGAAAAAGAACACAGACACAATTCATCCTCGATTCCCCAGAAAATATAGGAAAATATGGGAAGTGGGGGGGAAGACAGAAACCCAGAACATATGGGAAAATATGGGGAATCTTTTTATTTGTGTGTGTTTATTTGTGTGTTTGTGGGCCCCTTCCTCTTCGAGGGGGCTCGGGGCGGGGAGGGGGGCAGGCGCAGGCGTGCTCCTTTTTCGGAGCCCCCTGGGCATCCATGCACTGGAGGCCCACGCCGAGACACACGCCTCGCTCGCCTCCAGGGTGCCCCGGGTCTCTTCCTGGGCTCCGATGGTGCTCCGGCGGGAAGCGCGACGTTCCCACGCCAAGAACAGATGGGCGTCCTGGGGTCTCAGGGTTGGGTTTCGTGTGGAAGGCTTCCTGTGGCCTGGCCTCGGCATCGTACACCTTAGGCGATGCTTAAGAAAACTTAAGTTTTCGGCCAGAGTCTCGATCATTCTTAACGTTTCAATGTAAATCTTAAGATTTTAATGGAAATTTTGGGTTTTTATTCAAGTTCTGAGACTATGAATTTCTTAACCCATGATTTCTAAAGCATTTCGCAGGGTGTACTTGTGCTTCCCAAAGGGGGGGCCGACCAAGGAAGCTTCGTTGGGGCCCGCTCGCGCCCAGACTGGCGGGACATCTCTCGGGGAGAGGCGCTGCTCTTTTTGGGGCAGACGTGTCTCTGTTCAGAGCCCCTCGAGCCATGAAGAATTCACGACGGGAGGTTTTTCGCTATTTTCGCCCTCTGGGGGCCCTTACTGGGCCTCGGGACCGTTCAAAAACGATTCAGGATGAAAACCCGGTCCCGGGTAACGGGTCGAGACCTCTTGGGGTCGACGTCATGAAAAATTCATGACGTCGGAGGTTTGGGTCTTTTTCAGAGCCCCATGACCGTCGCCATGTAGCAGGCACCGCTTTTGGTCGTCCCACAGGTGGAGTCGACGAGTGGCGTCTCATGGGCTCGTTCGCGCAAGGATGGATGGGATATCTTGGGTCGACCTGCTCCTTTTTCCCCTCTCAGGGTCCCTGTGCTGGCTGCGCGTTTGGAACAGTTCGCTGCCGCTCCCGTCCTCTCCTCTCCTTCCGCCTCTTCCCTTCTCCTGCCTCCTACCCGTACCTGCCTCCTACCTTGCCTTCCTGGGTGCTGCAGGGCGGAAGATCAACGACAGGGACGAAGATCGAAGCTCGAAACATCGACGACGAATATCGAAGATCGAAGATCGAACATCGACGACGAAGATCGAAGCTCGAACATCGACGACGAAGATCGAAGCTAGAACATAGACGACGAATATCTAAGATCGAAGACCGAATACAGACGACGAAGCTCGAAGGGCGAGGATCCACGATGCCGACTACCCCTCTGGGGTTCTCCCAATGTGAGTCGTGGCCGGGGTCTCGGGGGAAGTCTGGCCGCGTCGACGAATGCGGATCGACGACGGGTGCGACGATCACCGAGCGCGTTCCACTACTCGCAACGTGCCTACTCGCAAACGTCCGGAAAGTATGTGTCTGCCTCCATGCCATATATATATATATAGATATGTATAGATATGTATATATGTATTTGTATATGTGTGCATCTGTACACATATGTGTGCATACACATCATGGATCGCCCGCTGCGGATCCAGGCCATTTGCGAGTAGGCACTCTGCGAGTGGTGGAGCGCGCCTGTCTGGACGACGAAGACGCAAGACCGAAGGTCGAAGATCGAGGACCGACGAACATCTTCCGTCCAGGACCGGCGACGACGAAGCTAAGATCGACGCTTCGGCGGCGGCGACGACGAAGACCGAAGACGGCTGGCCGAGAGTCGGCCACCGACGAAGATCCAAGATCGAAGGCCGCCTTCGCCTTCGCCGCCGCCGCCGCCGCCGCCGCCGCCGCCGTCGTCGTCGTCGTCGTCGTCGTCGTCGTCGTCGTCGTCGTCGTCGTCGTCGTCGCGGGTGTCGCTGTCTCCGCCGTCGCCGTCGCCGACGCCGCCGTCTTGGTCGCCGTGGTAGTCTTGGTTGTCGTTGTCGAAAGTCGGTGATCGAAGGCCGACGACGACGAGGACGAACATCGAAAATCGGTGATGGAAGGCCGACGACGCACGAGCCTCGAAAATCGGTGATCCAAGGCCGAGGACGACGAGGACGACCATCGAAGTCGGTGACCCAAGGCCGACGACGACGACGAACATCGGAAATCGGTGATCCAAGACCGACGACGGCGAAGACGAACATCGATCATCGGTGATCCAAGGCCGACGACGACGACGACGAACATCGAAAATCGGTGACAAAGGCCGACGACGATGACGAACATCGCAAATCAGACGCAGCCGATGCCTCGCGGCTTCCTTGGGGGGGTTGCGAAGTGCGAATTCGTCGCCTCTTTCGTGGGCTCTTGGGAGGCCCAGCGGGGTGGAGGTCGACGCAGACCCGGCCGAGACCCTCGCCGCCCCTTGGGAGGCTGCGACGTGTGAGATTGTCGCCAGCTTCGTGGGCTCCTGGAAGATCGAAAATCGGTGATCGAATCGAAGTTCGGACGTCAACGACGACGACGATGACGACGACGACGAGGAGGAGGAGGAGGAGGAGGAGGAGGAGGAGGAGGACGACGACGACGACGACGACGGCGGCGGCGGCGGCGGCGGCGGCGGCGGCTGCGACGGGCCCGCCTCCGCTGGCGGGAGGCGCAGCGCGTGCGCGGAGCTCGAAGGCCGCGCCGGGCCGTCCGGGGGGGGGGCGTCGTCGTCCTCGCCGCGGTCGTCGTCGCTGCCGTCGCCGCCCTCCTCGCCCTCCTCCCTCCACCTGCCTCGCTCCACCCTCTTCCCTCCTCCCTCCCCCTCTCTTCTTCTCCTCCCCCTCCTCCTTCCTCCTGTCTCCTCCTCCTCCTCCTCGCTCCTGTCTCCTCCTCCTCGCTCCTGTCTCCTCTCTCCTCTCTCCTGTCTCCTCTCTCATCTCTCCTCTCTCCTCCCTTCTTTCTCCTCTCTCTTCTTTCCTCTCTCGTCTCTCCTCTCTCCTTTCTCCTCTCTCCTTTCTCCTCTGTCCTCTCTCCTCTCCCCTCCCTCCACTTGCCTCCTCCCTCCTCCTCATCCCTTCTCCTTCCTCCTCTTCCAGCCTAGATTGTAACACGTGTGTGAGTTCAGATGATGGTGCAGTTCGTGCGTTGTGCTCATAATCCTCATCTTCCTCTCGAGATGGGGAGAGCATTGCACCTCCACCAGCCCGCCGCCGTCGTTGTCGTTGCCACCGTCGCCGTCGTCTTCGACTTCCTCAATGCATCGATCGAGGTTCTAGGTTCCCGCGGGTTTTGTTTTCGCCATCTCCATCTCACTTGGGCCCTGGTTTCGGGCCCAAGGGCCGTCGAACATCGGCCAAGGAGGGAAGACATCTGCCCTCGATGGATCCTGGCAGGGTTCTGGGGATCGATTTAAAGCTGATTTCGGTCGCCGCCGCCGCCGCCGCCTTCGCCTTCGCCTTCGCCGCCGCCGCCGCCGCCGCCGCCGCCGTCGTCGTCGTCGTCGTCGTCGTCGTCGTCGTCGTCGTCGTCGTCGTCGTCGGGGTCGTCGCGGGTGTCGCGGTCGCCGCTGTCGCCGTCGCCGCTGTCGCCGTCGCCGCTGCCGCCGTCGCCGTGCTGTCGCCGTCGTCGTGGTCGTCTGGGTCGTCGTGGTTGTCGTTGTCGTCTTGGTGGTCGCTGTGGTCGTGGTCGTTGTTATCATCGTGGTGATCATGGTCGCCGTTGTCGTGGTCGTCGTGGTCGTGGTCGTCGTGGTCGTTTTAGTCGTCTTAGTCGGCACCGTGATCGGCGATGTTGTGGTGGCTATGTTCGCCGTCGTTGTCTTCGCTCTCGTCGTCGTGGTGGCGGTCACCGTTGGAGGGAGAGGGGTACGGGGAAGAGGGGGAGGGATGAGGATGAGGCAGGATGGCGGCGGAGAAGCATGAATGGGGGGAGGAGGGGCCATTTCTGGAGGATGAGGAGGCGGACAACAAAGAAGAAAACCACGACGAATACGACGAAGAAGAAGCGGAGGATGACTATTGATATGCAGATGACGGTGGATCTGACGATGAAGAGGATGTTGATGATGATGATGATGGTGATGCTGATGCTGATGATGCTGATGATGCTGATGCTGTTGCTCACAATGACGACGACGACGCTGATGATGCTGATGATGCTGATGCTGATGCTGATGATGATCATGCTGCTGATGTTGCTGCTGTTGTTGATGATGATGACAATGATGATGCTATTGAAGATGTTGATGATGATGCTGATCACGATGATGATACTTTTGATGATACTGATTATGACGATCATGATGATGCTGCTGCTGTTGCTGTTGCTGCTGATGATGATGATTCTGATTGTGATGCTGATGACGATGATGCTGATGCTGCTGCTGATGATGATGATGCTTATGATATTACTGCTGCTGCTGATGATGTGTATAGTGATCTTGGTGATGATGGTTGGGATGATGCTCAGGGTGATGATGATGCTGATGATGCTGATGATGATGATGATGATGATGACGAGTTGATGATGATGGTGATGACGATGATGATGATGATGGTGTTGATGATGATGCTGATGATGATGATGATGATGATGATGGTGTGTCTGATGAACAGTGCTGGTGATGACTGCGACGACGACGCTGCAGATGTTGATGAGGAGGGTAACGATGTTGATGTTGACGATGATGTTGGTGATGATGGTGATGCTGATGATTACGTTGGGGAAGACGGCGACCACGACGACGACGACAACGACGATGATGATGGCGATGACGATGCTGATAATACCGACGATGATGCTGATAATGATGACGATGATGATGCTGATGCTGATGCTGATGATGATGATGCTGATGCTGCGGACGATGATGATGACGATGATGCTGATTCTGATGCTGATGCGGATGCTGACGATGATGACGATAATGATGATGATGGTGCCAGCGGCGACGACGATGATGAGGCTGATGATGATGATGATGATGATGATGATGATGATGATGACGAGGACAATGGTGCTGTTTATGATTCTGGCGATGATGCTGTTGATGGTGCTGATGATGATGCTGTAGATGTTGATGATGAGGATAACAATGATGATGCTGCTGCTGATGCGGAGTGTTTCTGATGTAAAGTGGTGATGATTGCGGCGACGACGACGACGATGCAGATGTCGATGAGGAGGATAACGATGATGATGATGACGATGATGATGATGATGATGATGATGATGATGATGATGATGATGATGATGTTGATGTTGATGTTGATGATGATGATGATGATGATGATGATGATAGTGGTGAGTATGATTATGCCAATGAGGATTATGGTTATGATGCCGACGAGGACGACGATGGGGATGATGAGGATGATGACGATGACGATGACGATGACGATGACGATGATGATGATATGATTCTGGTTATGATGATGATGCTGATGATGATGATGCTGATGATGATGGTGATGATGGTGATGCTGCTGATGATGATGATGTTGATGATGATGGTACTGATGATGATGCTGATGATGATGTTGATGATGCTGATACTGATGATGATAATGCTGCTGATGATGATGGCGATGATGGTTGCAGTTGTTGCTGTTGTTGTTGCTACTATTATTATTGTTGTTCATGATGATGATGATGGTGGTGGTGGTGGTGATGATGATTATGATGCTTACGCTGCGGCTGCTGCTGCTGCTGCTGATGATGATGATGATGAGGAGGAGGAGGAGGAGGAGGAAGAGGATGAGGAGGAGTTTGAGGAGTAGGAGGAGTAGGATGATGATGGTGATGATGATGATGATGATGATGATGATGATGATGATGATGAGGAGGAGGAGGAGGAGGAGGAGGAGGAGGAGGAGGAGGAGGTGGGGAGGAGGGGGAAGAGGGGGAGGACGGCGACGAAGAACACGATCACGAGGAGGCCGAGCTGCGCTCGCGCGAGCCGAGGCGTGCGCCACGCCTCCGACGACCTCGGCATCGCCTCGGAGCCGCTCGGGAGCGCGAGGCCCCCGGTCTCGGCTTCCTCGGGGGGGCGCCCAGGGGTGGTGGTGCCAGAGGTGGTCCTGGCCCAGAGGTGCCCCGTTCTCGCTGTCGTTATCGTTGTTATCGTCGTTGTTACTGTCGTTGCTATCGTCATTATCGTTGTTCTGTTGTTATTGTTGTTCTCGCTGTTATTGTTGTTATCGTTGTTGATGCCCCCAGCCTCAGCTTCCTCGGGGGGCGCCCAGGGGTGGTGGTGCCCCGTTCTCGTTGTCGTTATCGTTATTGCCGTTGTTATCGTTGTCGTAGTTATCGTTGTTATCGTTGTTAGCGCTGTCATCGTTGTTATCGTTGTTATCGTTGTCGGTGCCTCAGCTCTTCGTCCCGTGTGGGTTCCCCTGAGGCCATCCGGGCCTCGCGAGGGGTGCTCTGAGCGCCCTGGAGGCCATCGAGGCCTCTCGGGACATCCCTGGGGACACGTTGGGCCAGGGACGCTCCCTCTGTGAAGACCGGGGGCCGTGGACTCTCCCAGATCTCACGGCCCCCTCTTCTTCTCTCGACACGCCATCTTGCCCCCCCCCCGTCATAACTTTGTGTGTGTGTGTTGCGCAGATTCATCACTTCTCGTATGTCTCGCAGTTCCTTGGCATGTCTGCATGTCTGCAGGAGGCCGTGGCCTCACGCGCCTGGTCTCTGCAGGCCCGGACAGACGTCCGACGTGGTGGTTCGTTCGTTCGTTCGCCTGCGCACGTGCCTCGGGCCACGATGCGCTGCATTCCCCCTCCTCCCGCCCCCCCCCCCTCTTCTCCTCTCGACATGTTTTCTTGCCCCCCCCCCCAGCCTGCGCACGTGCTTCGGGCCATGTGCTGCACTGCATCCCCCTCTTCCTGCCCCCCCCCCTTCGCGGCGCCCCCCGTCCTCCCTCGTGGGCGCCTCGCTCCCCGTCGAGGGAGCGGAGGAAGTCGGCAGAAGGAGGAGGAAGGACACAGGAAGACACATCTGCACCCCGGCTGTTCTGACACGCACGGCTTGAAACGTGACACGTGCCGTGCTCAGAACCTCCGTGCTCAAAAGCGCACGTGCTCCGTCTGCGCGTGGAGCTCCGTGCCCACACGCTACGCGTTGCGTGCTGCGCACCGGGCGCAGCCAAGACCTGCACGAGCACGAGCTCTCGGGGGGCGGCGCCTCTCCGGCGCCGCCCCTGGCGGCGGCCCGCGCGCCACGCGAGGGGGCCCCAGCGCCGACCCAACGAATCCACGCCGGCCTCCGAAAGTTTCCTCAAGTCGGGCACGTCCCCCTACAGGGGGAATTTTCGGAGTATCTCTGAATATTTTTGACAGCTCTTGAGTATCTGAAAAGTATTTCTAGCTCTCCCAACCAGAGTCTGCCTGTATGGGGGACAGGCCCGACCTAAAAGTTTGTGCTTGTGCAGATCTGTCTTCTTGTGTCCTCCAGCCTGGCACCCCGTCGCCCCAGCCGCCCGCCTGCGCTCACGGCTTGGCCGAGTGCCGTCGCGCCGGAAAGCGTCTGTCCGTCGGTCCGCTCGTCCGCCCGTCCTTCTGTCCGTCCGTCTGTCTGTCTTTATGCGCTCTCGTGTGTCTGTCTTTTTCTGTCAGTCAGTCCGTCGGAGAATATTCAGCTACGCGCAGAGGGGGGTGGAGGGAGGGGGGAGGGCTTCTTAGAAGCGCCCCTGCTTCTTAGAAGGCGCGGGCCTTATCTATAGAGGTAAGGCCGGTGCCTTCTAAGAAGCAGCTTCCTTCTAAGAAGCCCTCCCCCCCCCCCACCCCTTTCGTACGCGCCACCAGAATATGTATGAATTTGTCCGTCTGTCTGACTGAGTACCTGCCTGCCCCCCCCGGCTGTCCGCGCGAGTGTTCTGCGCACGCCCAGCTGGTGCACCTCGCTCCTCTCCTGGAGGCACGAGCGGAGCGCGTGGATCTGTGCGCAGTGGCACCGTGGTCATCGGCCCGCAGCGCGCGGGCGGCTTGTGCGCGCTCTCCTTGGGAGAACCTCGGGTGTCTCCCTCCTCCTCCTCCTCCTCCTCCTCCGCCTCCTCCTCCTCCGCCTCCTCCTCCTCCGCCTCCTCCTCCGCCTCCTCCCGTTGATCTTTCTCCTCGTCGTCGGCCTTCTCGTTCTCCCCCTCGTCCCCCCACCCAGCCGCTGAACGGGTTGCTGCGTACCGAACCTCGCAGGGTGGGCCCTTTTCTTCCCAAATCCGTGCTTCGGAGAGGGAGGAGGGAGGAGGGAGGAGGGAGGAGGGAGGAGGGAGGAGGAGTACTCGCGCCTCGTTTCTGTCGTCGTCAGCGCCGTCCTGGTCGTGGTGCGTCTGCTCTGCTCGGCAGCTGTTTCCCATATGCGGTGGCCACCATCACCTACCTCCTCTCCTCCTCTCCTCTTCCCTCTCCTGCACCTTCTCCTCCCCCTTCTCCTCCCCCTGCTCCTCCCCCTTCTCCCCCCTCTTCTCTTCCTCCTCGTCGTCGTTGACCTCCTCCTCCTTCCCCGTCCTCTTCCTCCTCCTCCCTCCCTGTCCTCATCCTCCGCTACCTCCCTCCTCGGAGTCGACCGCCGCTCTTGACCAGGACTTGAAGGATCACTGCACCCCGAGGCGACGAGAGGCCCTCGGGAGGCCAGGAAACTCCGAGGCACGCCCGGCAGCTCCAGCCCGCGACCCTCGACCCTAGATCCTCGAGCCCTCCTCGCCCTCTCCTCCGCTGTTTCCTTCCTTCGTCCTCCTCCTCCTCGTCCTCCTAGCGCTCCTTCCTCGTCCTCCTCCTCCTCGTCCTCCTCGTCCTCCTTGTCCTCGTCCTCATCGTCCTCTGCCTCCTCCTCCTCTCCCTCGTCCTCCTCCTCCTCTCCTCGTCCTCCTCGTCCTCCTCGTCCTCGTCCTCCTCCTCCTCCTCCTCCTCCTCGTCCTCGTCCTCCTCGTCCTCCTCTGTTTCCTCGCCCTCGTCCTCCTCCTCGGCCTCCCAGCGCCCCCAGTTTCGCTGCCCGATCTGCCATCCTGTCTTCTCCAGCCGGACTGCGGCCTTTCGGACGTAGCCACATTTTTTTTTGCTGTTTAATTTCATTGTATTGCGAAGGCCTTACGGCCGGTGCCGCCGACCCTGAAGACGAAGACCGGGGCCTCCTGGAAGCTTCTTGGGGGGAAAGAGTCGATATTGGGGTTCGGGCTCCTCGTCTTGGGCCCCTCTTGGGGCCCTCTTGGGCCGTCTTGGGAGCCTATTGGGCCGTCTTGGCGCCCTTTTGGGCTGTCTTGGGCGCCTCTTGGGAGACTCTTGAGCTGTCTTGGCGCTTTCTTGGGGGTCCTCTCGGGCTGTCTGTGACGCCGTGAAGGCCGAAACGTCGTACATGCTAAAAATGTAAGTTTCCGATGGGACTGCGGCCTTTCGGACGTAACCACATTTTTTTTTGCTGTTTAATTTCAGTGTATTTGTACTTATGCATAATTCTTGAAACATGCACCACGGTGAACAGACAGCGTTCGCCATTCAGCGGGAAACGTTCGCAATGAAACCGACAGCGAGCCCTGTGCAGGCACGAGAACGAAGTGCTGTCAAGGGGGGGGGGCATGATCACGTGCTCAACCATGGCCTCGTGCAGGTCTGAGCGCGGGTTCGTCCCGCGCCCGGCTTTTCGCCTGCGTGGCAGCCCGGGCCACCGCGACTCGTATACGGACCAAGGGACGGGCCGACAAAGAAAAGCGGGCAGGCAGGGGACAAACATGGGCAAGAGAGCGAGGAGCCGAGGAGCGAGAAAGTAAGGCGGGGAGGGAGGGAGGACGACGGGAAAGGGCAGACTGGGCCGACAGACGGAGGGGCGGGGGGCGGGGAGGGGGGCCACGAGGAGGGGAGAGGGAGGGAGAGCGCGCAGCGAATTAGGGCAAAGAAACACCAGGGAGAGGGAACGCCACATAGAGGGAGAGGGGGAGGGGAGATGAGGGGAGCCGAGAGCGGAGGAGGAGCGGCGAGCTGGGCCGAGGTAAGGGAAGAAAAGAGGCGGCCCGAGAGGTGCGCGGGTTTGCCAGCTCATCTGGAGAAATGTCCAGGGTATCGTGAAGGCCTGACGGTCGGTGCCGCCGACCCTGAAAGACACTGACGACGACCACGAGGGGGAGGAGGAGGAGAAGGAGGAAGAGGAGGAGGAGGAGGCGGAGATAAAGAGGAGGAGGAGGAGGAGGAGGAGGAGGAGGAGGAGGAGGAGGAGGAGGAGGAAAAGGACCCCCTCCCTGGGGAGGAGGATCGGAGGAGGACCGGCATCTGGAAAAATGAGAGGGCCTTTGAGAACAGAACAGGACAGATGCAGTGCAAACCACTCACATGCTTGCACCACGCCCTCCAGCTCGGGCGCCCCCCCATCCACTGATGACGGGTGGCGTGGTCGGAGGCACCGGCCTCCACAGGACCGCTCGCGCGTTGTCCCTCTGCAGGGTGCACGATCTGGAGTGAGGCCGGCTCCTGTCCCTCGTGCCGTGCCGCCGACGGGCCCTTCGCGAACCTGTCGAGGGCGCCGCGGACTGAGGGGCTCCAGCCACCACCAGGAGGCTCAAGATCATGGGCGTGCACCTGACCCCGGCGGTCGAGCACTCATTGTCCGTGTCCTTGAGCGAGCGCGTGGAGAGCTCGTGAGCTGGGAAGACCGCCCCGCCGTCTACGGCAGACCTTTCCAGGAAGTCACCGCGAAGCCCCGAAGGGCATGCGAAGCCGAGAGCCTCGCCTGTATCGCCCAGGGCGCCCGGCAGCCAGATGTCCTCAGGCCTGCGCGGGCGCTCCGTGAGGCCAATGCCGTTTTCGGCGGGCCTGGCCGGCAAGAGGCCCGCCTTCTCTCGCACGGCCGCGCTCCCCGCCAGGGAGGCTCCTTCGAAAATCACGTCTCGAATGGCATTGTGCCGCGCGGTGCGGTCCCCCTTGCAGCAGCACGCCAATGCGTGATCTCCACAGGAATCAAGCACCTCTCCACATAATGGACAGCAAACGTCCGCGGGCGCCACGCGCAGCCGCAAACGCCTCCTGAGGGCGACCTTGAACAGCGCCGGTTCGATTTCCCTCCCGTCCAGCGAGAATTGACGCAAGGCTTCATGGTGGAGGCGGCGAGGGACCACCCTGACCGAGTACGCGAGCTTGCAGAAGCCAGCGCAGGCCCGCATCAGAAGGAGGTCCCCCCGGCAGTGCTCCACGTCCTGCACCCGGGCGAGCAGGCCAGCCGCCTCTACCTTCCGCTGGAGCGTGTGCGGCGTGCCGAAGGACTCCGTACCGAAGGCCGCGCCCAACGGCTTGGCATTGCCGTCCGCGTGCCACGCGAAGCCCGGGAATGCCTCGCTGGGCAGCGAGCGGCTGGGCCGACCCTCGCGCTTTGGCGGGGTCGACTCCAGGCCGATCCCGGCCAGGCGGCGCTTGAGCCGGCTGCAGAGTTCCGACGTGGCCCTGGGCCGTCCCGCCCGCCGCGCCAGCGTCCAAGCAGAACGCGCACAGCTCCAGTTTGCCTGGGAATAAAGCGTCGACTGCCGCTCGGGAAGCCAAGACCGGCAGTCAACCCGCATCGTAAGGATGGGCAACCTTCCCAAGGGTACCCTTGCATCTTCGCCTCCTCGGTCCATCCTTCGCCGCTTCCGCTGGCTGCGCCCCGCTCGAAAAGCTTCGAGGTGGGCGTCCAAGGCCCTTGCCTCCTTATCGCGCATCCTTGCCGTACTGGCCGACCGTGCTCATGGACCGCGATGTCGAAGAGCGCCGGGCCCGAGGGGTCGCCCTGCGGGGCGCCTCCTTGGCGCTTCCTGGAGCCGCCCGCCCCCCCCGACCACAGCATGCTGCTGTTTCGGCAGCACGGCGTCCGCCCACGGTGCCCAGGCTGGGCGCCGGCTCCCGGGTCGCGGCCGGCACTGCTGACCCGTCGACTGCGTCGACTGCGCTGCGGAGGCCGAGCGTAGCGACGGCACCTGTCAGAGCAGGTCGGATCGCGTGACAGCCGAGCCCAGACGGGGTGAGCGATGCCCAGGGCACCACGTCGTCACCGAGGGACTTCCGACACCAGCATCGCGGTTCAGGAACGGAGCACGATAACATTGACGAGCCTGGGCATGATCGCGGACTTGCTCCCGGCGCTGTGCCCGAAGCCGTCGCCGGCAGACTCCGTCCCGCTGCAGGCCCACAATGTTCTCAGGCACTGGCCGCCCCCCCGCCTTGTGAGCAGCACCCCCCAGGACTGCGACAGCCAAGACAATCCAGCGAACAAGCCCACAAAATCCCCTGGGGCTCGGCGCCATGCCAGGCTTCCCCCGCCCGCACGCGCGCGCGATGAGTCGACAGACAGCGTAGGCAAAAGAGAAACGGGCGATGAGCCAGGATGTCTCGACTTGAGCCGCTCACTCTTGAGCCAGGATGTCTCGACTTGAGCCAAACCTTGAACCTTGAATCCTCCTCCTCCTCTTCCCTCCTGTTGCTGCTGCTCATCCTCCACCTCCTTCTCCTCTTCCTTCTCCTCTTCTTCCTCACCACGACGGTGGCGACGACGACGACATCTCTACCTGGAATTCTCCCAGGTCTCTGGACGGTTGCGACGATACGCCCCATGAGCACAGGCGGCGCAGCATCGACAGTGCGATCAGTGCCTCCTCACCCTCAAGGAGGCGGCATCCCCCCCGCAGGAGGGAGGATGCGGGAGGCGCAGGAAGGATGATGATGATGCTGATGCTGATGCAGATGATGACGATGATGATGATGCTGCTGATGATGGTGATGATGATGTTGTTTTTTTATGATACTGATTCTGCTGATGCTGATGATAACGATGACTATGACGATGATGATGCTGATGATGATAATGATGACGCTGATGATGATGGTGGTGATGATGCTGGTGGTGGTGATGATGGCGATGGTGATGATGATGACGCTGTCGACGATTGTGCTGCTGCTGCTGATGACGATGATGCTGACGATGATGATGCTGATGCTGATGACGATGGTGATGATGATAATGATGACGATGATGATGATTGTGATGATGATTGTGGTGATATGATGCTGATGATAATGACGATGACGTTGCTTATTCTGATTATGCTGATGATTATGACGATGATGACAATGATGATGACGATGATGATGCTGCTGCTGATGAGGCTGATGATGCTGATACTGCTGATTATGATTATGATGGTGATGATGCTGCTGATTATGATGATGAAGGTGGTGGTGGTGATGCTGACGCTGATGCTGATGCTGATGATGATGATGACGATGACGATGATGATGATGATGATGATCATGATGATGCTGCTGTTGACGATGATGTTGATGATGATGATGATGATGATGGTCATGAAGATGATGACACTGACTATGATGTTGATTATGATGATGATGGTGATGATGATGATGATGGTGATGATGATGATGATGATGATTATTATTCTGGTGATGATGATGATGATGGTGATGGTGATGATGATGATGATTATGCTGATGATGAGGCTGGTGATGCTGATGATGCTGATGTCTATGATGATGAGGACGATGATACCGATGCTGATGCTAATGATGATGATGCTGATGATGACGCTGCTGATGATGATGCTGTTGGTGATGATGATGATGATGCTGACGCTGATGCTGATGATAATGCTGATGCTGATGCCAATGCTGATGCTGATGCTGCTGATGACGATGATGATGATGATGATGATGATGCCGACGATGATGATGCTGATGCCGACGAGGATGATGCTGATGACGCTGATGCTGATGCTCATGATGATGCTGATGATGGTGATGATGATGGTGGTGATGCGGATGATGATGCCGACGATGATGCTGATGCTGATGATGATGATGATGATGCCGATGATGATGATGATGATGATGATGATGATGATGATGATGATGATGATGATGATGATGATGATGATGATGATGATGATGATGATGATGATGATGCTGATGATGATAATGATGATGCTGATGCTGGTGATGCTGATTATGATGTTGATGAAGATGAGGACGATGATGGTGGTGGTGATGATGATGGTGATGGTGATGCTGCTGCTGATGATGATGCTGTTGATGCTGATGCTGATGTTGCGGATGATGCTGATGATGAGGCTGGTGATGCTGCTGATGATGCTTCTGATGATGCTGCTGCTGATGATGCTGATGCTGATGCTGATGCTGATGATGATGATGCTGCTGATGATGTTGATGGTGCTGGTGGTGGTGACGATGCTGCTGCTGATGATGATGCTGCTGATGCTGATGCTGATGCTGATGATGATGATGATGAGGAGGAGGAGGAGGAGGAGGAGGAGGAGGAGGAGGAGGAGGAGGAGAGGAGGAGGACCAGGAGGAGGAGGAGGAGGAGAACGAGGAGCGGAGGAGGAGAAGAATGAGGAGGACGAGGAAGAGGAAGAGGAGGTTGAAAACGGAGGACGGAGGACGGAGGACGGAGGAGGTGGAGGAGGAGGAGAAGGAGCAGGAGGAGGAGGAGGAAGTGGAGGAGGAGGTGGAGGAGCAGGAGGAGGAGGAGTAAGAGCAGGAGGAGGATGAGGAGGAGGAGGAGGAGGAGGAGGAGGATGGGGTGGAGGAGGAGGAGGATGAGGATGAGGATGCTGATGCTGATGCTGCTGCTGCTGCTGATGATGATGATGATGATGCTGATGCTGCTGATGATGATGATGATGCTGATGATGCTGTTGCTGATGATGATGATGATGATGATGATGATGATGATGATGATGATGATGATGATGATACTGATTATGATGATGATGGTTCTGATGGTGATGCTGATGGTAATGCTCATGGTAATTGGCATGGTGATGGTGATGGTGATGATGGTGATGATGCTGCTGATGATGATGATTATGATGATGATGCTGATGATGATGATTATGATGATGATGATGATGCTGATGCTGATGATGATGATGCTGATGATGATGCTGATGATGATGATGATGATGATGATGATGATGATGATGATGATGAGGCGGATGAGGAGGAGCAGGAGGAGGAGAAGGAGGACGACGTATCGTTGGTGTTGGTGTTGTGTTGATGTAGAGAGGGAGGAGAGAGGGAGGGTAGGCAGGATGTATGAGGAAACGGAATGAGGAGGAGGGGGTAGAGGGAGGACGGATCGAAACGCGGCCGACGGATCATGGTTGAACGATCAACGCGATGTCAGAAGCCCATGCCGAAGTCGTCACGACACGACCCTGCCGTACAGATCCACCTCGTTCTTCCCCCTCCCAGGAATAGGGAACAATCTGAGGAGGAGGAGGAAGAGGAGGAGGAGAAGGAGGGGGAGGAGCGGAGGAGGAGGAGGAGGAGGAGGAGGAGGAGGAGGAGGAGGAGGAGGAGGAGGGGAGGGAGGATGGGGAGAGGAGGAGGGGAGGGGAGGAGGAGCGGAGGAGGAGCGGAGGAGGAGGAGGAGGAGGAGGAGGAGGAGGAGGAGGAGGAGGAGGAGGAGGAGGAGGAGGATTTCGGAACTCGGAACTCGGAACTCGATAGCAGCTCATCGTCAGCTGGCACAGACATCGAATCTAATGGAATCGAGCGCAAGGCGATACCAGTGTGAAACATGAGAAGAGAGGTGCGACGCAGAGGCAGCACAGAGAGCCTGTACATGACTCACAACAGCGCATACTCTTAGGCAAGCAGACTGGGAGCCTAGCAGAAGGAGAACATCTGCAGTGCTTGTGAGGCAGGAGAAGGCGGGGGGAGGGATGAGGGAGGACTGCGGACCTGTATGCGCGTTCGCTCCCTGCCGTCAGGCTCGGATTTGGGCGCTCGACGCCCCCCCGGTCGGAGTTCTGGCGCCCTCTGGGGGCCCGAAAACGGCTGCACGTAGGAGTGACCCTTCCTTCGTTGGGGTGACCCGTGCTGCGCGGCTTCCCCGGGGGCGGCGCCAGGAGGCCCTCCCAGGGCATGGTGTAGGCCGCGTCTCGGCCGCGTGCTTCAGGCACGACCCCGGGGGCCAGAGCACGCTCGGCCGATGCCTGCCAGAAGCCCATGCCCTGTGCTTCGGCATCCACGTCCCTGCGCTCTCTCTCTCTCTCTCTCCCGCCTCGTTGCCTCCCGCGCTGGCCAAGAGAGGTGCCATGCCCCAGGGAGGGGAGGGGGGGGGCATGCGGCGTCGGTCCTGTGGCGTGTGGGCGGTCCTCTGGAGGACGGTGCTCACAGAATATCCCTCCGCCCTGGACCGTCTCCTCGCCATGGCTCTCCGGATCGTCGTCGTCGTCGTCGTCGTCGTCGTCGTCGTCGTCGTCGTCGTCGTCGTCGTCGTCGTCGTCGTCGTCGTCGTCGTCTCCTCGCTATGGCCCACCTGACAACGGTTGGGAATGCAGTTCTGGGGCTTAGGCTGGACACACCGCATCGATCCTGGCCAGGGGCTGGCCGCTCCCAGGCCAAGGATCGGTGTAAACTCCTCCCTGGTCAAACCAGTATATATATATGTATGTACACATATAAAAGTACACATACATACGCACATTAATCCAGCTGCCTGCGGCAACTTCCGCCACCGTGCCAGTCCGGCATGTTGGGTTGCTACGATCCCAGGATGCACGGGAGGCTGGCAAGTGTGACGCATGAGGCCTCTTGAAGGTTTTGGTGGCCTCTTGAGGAGTTCTTTGGGGCCTTCTGGGGTTTCATGACAGACAGACGGGCCCAGACGACGGGCGGCGAAGAGGCGGCGACGGAGTGGCGACGGCGGCAACAAGCGCGGCGACCGACAGGCAGGCCCAGACGACGGGCGGCGACGAGGCAGCGACGGGGCGGCGAGGAGGCTGGCGCCAGACCGACAGACAGGCCCAGACGACTGGCGGCGACGAGGTTGCGAAGTGGCTGCGACTGCGGCAACATAGCCGCCAGACAGATGAACTTGCCAAGTTCCTTAGAACAGAAGTAAGAAGCCCTAAGTGCAAGCACTGTTTGGGTAAAAACGTCAAGTCCGACCTGGCAGCATTCTGCTGCCTGGAGGCTAGGCACTGCGAGGCGCGCCTTGTGGCGCGTGCTGGGTGGCTCCCCAGGCAGCAGCTGCCCGAGGGCTCTGCAGCGCATCTCTCGCGGGAGACCTCGTCCGACCATTTCGTTAATCAGAGGGCCTGGCCAAGCCGAACCGCGCGCGCGGCCGCCCCGCGACTCACTGCGCCCCGCGCCCCGCGCACCGCGCCTCGCCGTGATGGGCGCCCCGCCTTGTCCGTTAGCGAACGGCGAGCACACCAACAAGCGCACCAACAGATGCACCAAGCATACACCACGGATGCAGGACAGATGCGCGACGAATGAAAGACACACAGACCACACGTGTACGGACGCACAAACCACGCGTGCACGACCACAAGCCATCTGATGGCATCTGGCCCATCCTGCCACCGTGCCCGTGCTGTGGGTATGAAGCCTGCTGGATGTTCGTTGTGATCTCGTGGGAGGTCTCTCGGGGGCCTCTTGGAGGCAGAGTGTTGAGGCCTTTTGGGGGCTGTTTTGGGGCCTTTTGATGCCCCTTAGGGGCCTCTCGGGGCCTCTTTTCGCCCTCTTGGGCCTCTCAGGCGCCTCTTGGGGCGGAAGGCTCGGATTTTCGGTTCGTGTTTTGTCTCTTGGAGCGTCGGGAAACAGAAAAGGCGAGACGCCA